CCCTAAACCCTAAACCCTCATCCTATACCTTTGCACGGAATCTAGGACCAACGGGTTGGTAATTACTTTTGGCCGCCTTTCGTACCCTCAACGCCCAAGCACGCATGCAGAAAAAGCGTCCTCCTCCTCTTCAGCTTCTTCCTCCATTTCCTGGACTTCACATGGTCCAGGTTTCAGGATTTAGCATATAGGTGGCTGTCAAAATTATGGTCCGTTTTTGGTGTACCCTAAATATTAGGTGCCGTATTCTTATAGGGATCCAAAAAGGGACCATAATTTTGAGAACCACCCATATAGCATAGGTTTTAGGATTCTTGGTTTGCAGCATTTCTTCCTCTCGAAAAAGGCGTACAAGCCTAAGGTTTGCATCGTAGCAATGGTTAGATAACAGCGTAAGGGCTTGAACATAATAGACCGTTAGCTTTACAACCCCCCAAACCCATTTAGTCCCCTTGAAGTAGATAAACCCTAAACTCGAAACCACACCCATGTTGAGATCCCCATACCCCATATTCTATCTACTTAAGGGGGATTATAGGTCTCTGCAAATCTCACTCTGCTCAAGGGGCCTCACCAAGACTACAGCCCAAGCTATCCCTAAACGACCTTACTTGAGGGCGCGGAACTAGGCGGGATGGTGTAAAGGGGCTAGCAGGGGAATCCATGATTACAACACCTTTAAGCAGAGTGAGGAAGTATTGCAGCTGTAGTCTAAACTCCTAGTATTCCCCTTAACACCCCCCAGAAATGTCCCTTTTTAGTCCCCTAGAGAACCCCCATTTATGGAGATTAGACTCTAGCTCATGTGGAGTTCCAGGCAAATTTGGAGAATCATCAATCAGGGACCATCTTGTCCGCGCAGGGACTTCCTGGTGCTTCAGGGGAATGGCAGAATGAACCAAGGAACTACTGCAGCGGATTATAGTCCCCCTAAAGTAGACAGAGTATGGGGTATATGGGGATCTCATTATAATAGACCCCAAGCCATATTCAATCTACTCAAGGCGGACTATGTACTGGGATCATGGTTGTAGGGATTCACCGCCCATGACCCTAGGACTTGTTGTGATGCCAGTGTTGATATCATGTCCATGGGGCCGTTTCGTTCTCCATTTCTCCAGTGTTGTGGGGTATATCCATACTACTGAGGAAGAAATTAGCGCTGAAGCGTAAGTAGTAGGGGTTACAGGAAAACCCTGACCCCCCCAAACCGTAAACCCTGCACTCTACACCCAAACCCGAAACCCCGGAACCGTAAGCCTGAGCCCTAAACCCTCAAGCCCATGCAAACTTACCCTTGCAAAGGGTTTTCAGAACTCTTCTGAAACATATTGTTGATGGAGGAAATCTTGCACCACCTTAGATCCCTAAAGCCCCAGGAATTACAGTAGTTTAGGGCCCCTAGGTGGTGCAAGATTTCATCCATCAACAGTAAGCTTTAACTTTCAAAGCTCAGCAATCCGCCCGCAAACCCTAATTAATGGCAATACACCTTAAATCCTAAAAGCCCTAAACCCCAACAACCCTAAACCTTAAAAACACTAAAACCACTAAAAACCACAAACCCTGAAAACGCTAAAAACCCTGAGCCCTCAAAACACCAAAAACCCTAACAACTCTAAACCCTAACAACCCTACCCCCTAAAAACCTTAAACCCTAATGACCCTAAACCCTAACAACCCTAAACCCTGAAAACCCTAAAAGCCCTATACCCTAATAACCCTAAACCCTACACCTAAACCCTAAACCCTAACAACCCTAACAACCCTAAACCGTAAACACCTCAAAAAACACCCAAAAACCCTAAACCCTAAAACCATAAACGAAAGCACTGCCTCTGCAGGTTCTTCTTCTTCTTCCTCTTCCTCAGGCGGTGCCACCTGAACGACACCCGGGGGGCTTAGGGTTTAGGGGTTTATGGTTTTGGGGTTTTAGGGTTTTAGGGGTTGAGGGTTTAGGGTTTTAGGGCTTAGGGGTTTATGGTTTTAGGGTTTAGGGGTTTAGGGTTTTAGGGTTTAGGCTTTAGGGTTTCCCTGTAACTCCAATGCCCTACAGTTTTTTGGGTCATACCTATTGAATACGGCGTAATTTGCTACAAAACTGCAGGAACTTCAGGTTCAGGTGGTTTACAGTTTATGGTTTATTGGGCTTTCGGTGTGCAGGGGGCTTTGGGGGGTTAGGGCGTTTTTGGGTTTAGGGGGTCAAGGGTTTAGGGGTTAGGGCTTATGGGATAGCAGAATCCAAGGAAAGGAGTGTTGCTGTTTAGCCCCAAACTCAAAACCCTAAACCCTGCATTCCTCCGGTGGATGAAATATATATATATATGTATATTCACATGCGTACAAAAAATGTATGGAGACTATAAGAATGTTGTACGTTCCCGTCTTGCATCATGTTATTGGACTTATAGGTCATAAATATTGGCAGGGAGGGTCGAAGTACCCACGAGTCTTATCTTCCAACAACGCTGCACTACACTTCCTGCGGTGGATGGAGGAAATCTTGAAACTCTTAGGATCCCAGAATACTGTACTTCCTAGGGGCAGGAGGCATGTAAGGCGGTGCGAGATTTTCCCCATCCACACTTCTGCCAGAAACCCAAGTTCCCAAGTATGTCTAAACACTAGACCCTGAAACCTTGCACTATAAACCCTAAACCCTCAACCCCAAAACTCTAAACCATTTGGGAACCCAATCTGAAGTTGGAATGCCACGTACAATGACACTGATGGCCCGGATAGTTTGCGGTGTGTTTGCTTTGTTGTTTGTGCTCCAGGTTTGAGGCCGATGTAGGGTTCAGCGTTTAGGGTTTAGGGGCCTTGGGAGTTCGGAGGATTACCAGGCTGCTGCTTAATGAACTTAAATTTCAAATACCAGGGTTTAAGTTTTAGGGTTTAGGGCCACAATATGGGCATATTTGAAATTAAGCTTTAGGGTTTAGGGCCACAGCATGAGCATATTTGAAAGAATTGTAGCAACTTTAGTTGAGTTTCCTTAACAGCAGCCCTCATTGTCTTCTCAGAATCCCAACAGGATTAACTGTCCTAGAATCCCCATATACTCCCTGTATCGCTACTGTATATTCAGCTATTCCCTACTAAGAACCAGTAGCTTATGGGCTGGCACCCTAAACTCTAAACGGGGTGGTTGATGTAGAAAAGCTGACTAATTACCAGTGTCATGTTCCTAGACTAGATTCCTTCCATTTTCTGGAATGGAGTAAACCCTAAACCCTAAGTAAGAAACCCTAAACTTCTTTTATTGGCAGCTAGAAATTCTTCAGGGCCCTACATCTGACTCCCCGTGAAATCCCACATAGAATCCCAGCCTCCGCCACAAGCCTAAACTCGGTTTAGGGTTTAGGGTGTAGGGTTCAGGGGCCCGGGGTTAGGTTCTAAGGTTTAGGGTTTAGGGTTTGGCATTTATTCCTATATCCCCCTACGTATTCTTATACATCCCTATATACCATTTCCATATACGCATGTACATCCTTATATATCCCTTGATGCTGGCCGGTGATAATGAATCCGCTCGTGCCTTGGCCTTGGCTTTTGCTTTGGCCTTGCCCTTTGCCTTCGCTTTGCCAGCAGCCTGCAGCACCGTTTAGGGTTTCGGGTTCAGGGGTTTCGGGTTTAGGGATTAGGATTTAGGGCCTAGGGGTTCTACAGGGATATCTGTACCTTGTCACAAAAAATCGTAGAAAATTACGGGAACGTAGACCATACCCTAAACCCTACCTATAAAGCCTGGCTACCAATAATGAAGGGCTACGTTAACCCAAAGTAGTAGGAAATCAGGGGAAAGAAGACTATGATTATGGGCTCATGGCTTTCTAGGCAAACCCTAACCCTAAATCCTAAACCCTAAATCGTAGACCCCAAACCCCGTGTCTTTTTTGGGAGTGTCCCAAGGGCTCCAACCATGTAGTTATTTTCTGGGTTTGTTCTGTTTTTGTTGGTAGGGAGTTGGGAATATACCGCCCGATGAGGAACTACATAGCACGTTCTGGGTAGGTTTGTCAGGAAGTCCAATGTGGAAGGAATTTGGCACCCCCTATCAGGATGCGGCCATCAATATAACACCTGAACCCTAATCCCTTGGGTCCAAATCGGCTCCTACATCAAAGAATTGGAACTGTACTGCTGGCAGTGTGAAGAAAACCCCACAGACAGGTAGGATAAAATCCGTTTTGATAATACGGTGCCCAGCAAGGGAATATAAGGTATGATAACGATTCAAACCTCGCACCTGAAATCCTGAACCATAAGCCCAAGACCCTTTGCCCTCAACCCTGAAATCCGAACCCGAAAGCCTAAGCTCTAAATCCCTTTACCCTACTCCTGTCATTTATGCATGCTGATCCTGAACCGCAATCCCACTAGAACTTCTCCCCCTTTACCCTATAGTCCCCCTCAAGTAGATAAAATATGGCTTTGGGTACATTATAATATTCCATATACTCCATATTCTATCTACTTCAGGGGGACTATAAACCCTAAACCCTATATACCATCTACCCTGTATTCTATCTACTTAAGGGGAAAATACACCCTAAACCCTAAACCCTATGTACCCCACATTCTATCTACTTCAGGGGGACTACACACCCTAAACCCTATATACTATCTACCCTATATTCTATCCACTTAAAGGGGACCATAAACCCTAAACCCTAAACCCTATATACCCTAAACCCTAAACCCTATGTTCTATATTCTATCTACTTCAGCGAGATTAAAAGCTGAAGCCCTAAACCCTATACCCTAAACCCTATATACCCTAAACCCTCAACCCTATATACCCTAAACCCTCAACCCTATATTCTATATTCTATCTACTTCGGGGAGACTATAAACCCTTTTAACTATGGATCGCCTTCTCGGGCTCCTCAGCTGCTGGCTTCGGTGCCTTGAGACCAACAATGCTGAAGAACCCGTGCTTACTTAGGGCTTTTACGGTTAAAGGTTTGGGTTTTTAGGGTTTAGGGTTTAAGGTTTTCAGGTTGAGGGATTAGGGGCTTAGGGTTTAGTGTTTTAGGGGCTTAGGGTAGCCCATGATTATTCTCGACCTAGACCCTCCACCCACCCCCTGGCTTAAGGCCTTAGTGCCAAGCATTGGGGGGGGCATATATCCCCAATTGAAGGTACTAGGAGTGTCTTGGTACTTTCCCCTAATTTCCAAGTACTTTTGGAGAAAATAGCCCAGCATTTGGGGTAACTAGGCTTCCCACACAGGATCTGAAAGCTCAAAGGGTTCGGGATATAGGGTATACAGGGTTCAGGGTTTATGGTTTGTATGTTATATATATATATGTCTATCTATACGCATAGAATTTGAAGAGTGTAGGGCTTAGGGTATGCGATTTATCGGGCCAAAAATTGGGCTAAAAAGGTGTATAGGGCTGGGGGTATAGAGTTCAGGGAGGGGTCTAGGGTACAGGGCTTCGGGTGTGCACATATGAAGTGCCCCTAAACCCTAAATTCTAAGCCCGACCAAAATCGCCATTTGCCCATCATTACAGTCTACTTTCTTCAAAGTGTCTACTACTTTGGGTTGGATGGCCTATTCTTTTGGTAACTAGGCCTTCTGTCTAGGTAGCCCGTAAAACCTAAACCCAAAGCCCTAAGCCCTACACTCTACACTTGAAACCCTAAACAATAAACCCACAAGTTGTGTACAGAAAACCCAAAGAGATATGTGCGGCCGATCACACAGGTTGTTTCTTACAACTTGTTATGCGCCTCCGAAAAATCCACTGGAAAGGCAGCTCGAGTATCCTAAGCCGCAGCAGGTTGTTGCAGAGCCCCGGCGATTCCACAGGCAGAATCGGCAAGTGGCAATGAATTTGTAATTCCAATTTCTCTTCTGTAGTCTTGTCTCCAAGTGGACGCTTCGAGACTGTCCAAGAGACCGCATGCATAAACCCTGAGCCCTAAACTCTGAGCCCTAAACCCTAACCTAAGCCCTAAACCCTAAACCTTAAGCCCATTCTAGGTCCTGTTAGGCTCACCTGGTAAAGGGGTGGTTTGAACGATACTGCAGGTTCGGCAGCCTGGGTGAAATCACCAGGTGAGGGTTAAACAAACAGCTGCTACACCCAAAAAAGGGCTACGTTGACCCAAAATGGTACGACATCAGGGAAAGTAAGCCGAGGTTTAGGGCGCAGGTTGTAGGGCTTGAGAGATATTGTAGTGTTTATGGCTAAAGGATTGGCGTTTAATATTAAGGCTGAGGGGATCTGAGGTTTAGAGCTTAGGGCTTAGAGGCGGAGGAACTTTTGAACCACTTAGGTCTGCTGCAGCAGAACACTCTGATTTGTTGAAGACGCCCTACATGTCGCTAGCAATTCAAGATTACACCCTAAGCCCTAAACCGCTAAACCTGGGGTCTCGAAGAGCTCGCTAACATTCGAGAAGCTCCAATTTTCCCAACACAATGCAGGGCACTGAATTTGCCTTTACCCTATCTTCTCTTAGTCAGGGTCAGGACCATGGGCCACAAATTCCATAATGGGTTTAGGGTTTAGCCTACACCCCAAACCCTAAACTTGGGTTTAGAGTTTACCCTGAACAAAAAAGCCGACCCCAACCCCTGCTCCCTAAGGAAACAAGAAACACAAAATACAAAACAAGTGGCACTTTTTCCATACATATGTGGGGGGGCCAACGTAGACCCTTACATACTTGCATCCGTCCTGGTTATGGGGAACCCCAACAGGGGACCCCTAACTCTAGGAATCCCCCGCAGCGGCTAAGGCCATTGCGAAGAAATCCTGTGGCTCCACCAACTAGGGTTTAGGGTTTAGAGTCTAGGGTTTAGGGGCAGGGTTTAAAAGTCTAGGGTTTAGGGTTTAGAGAACATCCAATTTCAACGGTCTGCAGAAATTGTGAAATTTGATACTCATTAAGAGGATTTGGGTACCCCAACCCTTACATCGGACCCAACGCCTGGCTCTTGCTTTTCTAGGACCAGAGCGTGCTGGGCGAAACCCTGAAGGCCCCCGAAGGCTTGCGAAGAAGAGGGTGCCCTTCTGGGCTATACCCATATTTGGGGTCCCTAAACCTTAAACTCCAAACTCTAAACCATCTTGGGACCAAAACGACTGGGCGCCACGCCGCACTAGCAGGTCTTTTCATGGATGTCTCCTCCATTTCTTCATCCTGCCAGTGAAAAGACTCATCACTCCACCCAAAACCGCGAAATCTATGAGCCTAGCTGACAAGCCTGCTTGCCCGTAATAATGGGCTAAGGTGTCGGGTTTAGCTACCAAAAAGAGTAGGCGACTTGAAGCCAGAATGGTACGACATTACGGGAAAGGAGTCTACAATTATGGTCCGCAAGCCGTACACCGTCAACCCTGCATATCCCTATATAAACCTATCACTACAACTGCAGGCTACTAGCTTTCTAGATAGGAGTCCTGCGTCCCGACCTTTTTCCCCAAAAACCAGAAAACTGGATTCTATACTGACTTCAACAGTCACAGGAGCCAAGGTCAAATCTGAAAGGGTTTAGGGTTTAGGATTGACCGTTTAGGATTTAGGGACACGGCTAGTGATAAGATATAGTGACCGTTAAGCAGATAGAATCGTCGTTGGGTATTATATAACAGAACCCCATATACACCATATTCCATCTACTTCAGGGGGACTAAAGGTCTAGCTGCTTCAGGAAGCAGTCAGCTTTTCTTGAAGCTCGGGCAAGGCGTTTAATGTCCTGACGGTATGGGTTCTCCTAACCACTCCCCCCAGGTTCCTTTACAGTTTAGGGTCTCCCACTTGTTTGTCATGACCTTCGAGGGCGGTGACCGAGCACATGTGGTGTTCTCTTAAACGTTCCGGGCCCAGGGCTAAACCCCAAACCCCTAAACCCATAAATCCCTAAATCCCCAAACCCCTAAACCCTAAACCCCTAACCCCTAAAGCCCTAACCCCTAAACCCTAAAGCCCTAAACCCCTAAACTAAACCCCTAAACCCCTAAACCCTAAACCCCTAAATTCTAAACCCCTGACCCCTAAACCCCTAAACCCCTATACATCCGCCCAGCTGCTTGGGCTCCTTTACGTAAGGACCTGCCGATAACTTTGAATCCCCAGCTGAACCGTAATCACTGAGGGTTTAGCGTTCAGGGTTTAGGGTTTAGGTTTTAGGATTTATGGTTTGGGGTTCAGAGTTTAGGTTTGGGGTTTAGGGTTTAGACGAAAACTGCAGAGCTGCGCAGTCACAAATTGAGGCCAGTGCAGCTGGCATTTATAGACTTTAGGGTTTAGGCCCCAATGTAGGTATGATTTGTAGACTTAGAGAGACTTTAGGGTCTAGGGTTTAGGGCCCAAAGTAGGTATGATATGTAGACTTAGAGGCATAGGGCTATAATTGACCTTCCATAATATTGTTGATGGACTAAAAGCGTGCATGACTTGGGTACACTAAACCTTGGAAATCATGGTATATTCCTCATTATGGGTGATGCAGGATTTCCATCAACAGTATGACGACCCCCAAAGGTTTAAGCTAACCCGCTCCTAAACCCTAAACCCTGAAACCAAACACCGTATTGAGAAATTCCTATCTGATACCCTTTAAAAGATCCAAAAATGGAACCTCCCAACAATCCCCAAGTTTCCCCAATGTAGGGATGGGGGTCATTTTGGGGGGTTCCGTTTTTTGGATCCTTTATCTTAAACCCAAAACCGTAATCACCTAATCCCTAAACCTTATGGATCCTTTGAGGGGTCTGGGTATCTGACATCGCCAACCTCTTCGGCAGCATCTTCACCCTCTTCGGGCTCTTCCTCACAGTTATGCAGGGTTTGCCGGACAAATGGTTTGGGGTTTGGGTTTAGGGCCCTACACATCCACATGGCCCAAAGTAGATACTACTTGTAAACTTTAGGGCTCAAATGAGCTATAGTCTACACTCCTAGTATCCTCCTTTATAAGCCATATAATAGTCCCTACATAAGGCCCTATATCTCCCCCTTTTGAGGAGTTTAGACTATAGCTCAAATGAAGTAGCATCTAACCCAGACCCATGATTAAGAAACCCCCTCTTATTAATAGAGGCTATAATAGGGATCCTAATATGCAGGCCCTTAAACGGTGGGAGTTGATTAATCATGGGTCTACATGAGAGACTTAGATGCCCACGGATGACAAAGCCCTGAGGTTGGTCCTGAAGGGGCTTAAGATACGTGTTGGAGAATCAAGTGAACGATAGTCTAAAGTCCTTAAAGGGGGCTATGTAGGGATTCTACAGGGGACTACTACGGAGGTTATTCAGGGGGATACTAGGAGTCTATACTATAGCTCAAATTGGAAAAGGATGGTGGAAATATGAAGTGGAAACTGTATGTACAAGAGCTGCATAGGATTCCATGAACAAGCCTGAATTCCTAGAAGAGGATTTGAGGGTATATCATCGAGAAGGTTTATAAGAGCTGTTAGGGAATCATGTTGGCAATGTCTCAAGTTTCCACTCTACTTAAGAAGAAGCACTCGGGACGCGTTCAATGTCTAGGGGAGGAGCAGTGGCTTTGCAGGGATTACTTACTGGTTCTCAATAGGGAGTAAGGGAATATATAATCCCCAAACCCCAAGACCCTAAACCCAATATACTATATTCCCTTATACCCTAATAACCCCCTTACTGGTTCTTAGTAGGGAGTAATATCTATATATCTACTTCTTTATTGAGTTAATGATGTGTATAGTCATTTATGCAAGCCCTATACCCCAAACCCTATGTAATATATTCCCTTGTTCCCTACTAACCCCCAATAAGATTAGGGTCAAGAGTGTAGGATGCTCAGGGGTCCTGCCTGAACCTTAAACAGCATGTCTCATCTCCTTTCATTCTAATAATAAGATACCTATATACCCCATATTCTATCTACTGAATGAATTCCAATGGCCATGGAAACTCACAACAAAGTGGCGTCCCTCGTGAGGGAAGGAGATGGGATTTAATAGCTCCACGGAAACAGGGAGAGAGGATCAAGCTACATGCTTATCTCATGGGTTCCCCTACTACCCCCCCCCTATGCCACCCCGGCTATCTTGACCAGACAATTAAAGTTATCTAGGGCCTAATTTGGCTGAATTCAGCGGCACCTAGGGGGGTAGTATAGAGTAGTATAGAGGGGTGTAGTAATTAGGGGAAGCCATGATGACCTATTCCTGCTCAGGCCTGCGAGTGCTCGGTTGCCTGAGGGTTAATAGGGTGTGGGGTATAGGCTCTTGGATTTAGGTTCTAGCGTTGCAACACGCTTTGGCTTCAGCATTGCAGGATTCTGTCAACATCTCGCCGCACCCGTCCAGGCGCCAGAGGCACCTTCATCAATAACTCAAACTCCTGCAAGTCTCACACTCTAGACTCTAGACCCCGAACACCACACGGCCTCTACCCGTCCTCTACCAACGCTCAAACGTGGTCCCTTATAGACACATTACCGTAATAGTGAAACCCAACCCCCCTAACAACAAATATTCCCCCTAATGTGTAATGGTACCATCCTGGGCTGATATATAATTAGCTGGATGACGACGTGATGATTAGGGGAACGGATCAGTTTGAAGGCGGCTTAGCCCGGAAATACACAGCAAGTCTTCGCCTCCTCTGGCTGCTCAGGCTCTTCCACAGCCTGAGAAAGTATTTTGTTTAGGGTTCGGGTTTGGGGCTATAGAGTCACGCTCTGGTGGACAAAGCCCTGCATGACCTACGTGTGGTACAGCGCCAGAATATATACTTCCTTGCAAGACAAGGTGGAATTAATAAGTACACGTAACCCCCTATATTCCACGCGCTGCCCCGACTAGAAGCATTATGAACTTCCTTACCGGATTCCCCTGGCCCTAAACCCTCTGAGCTTAAGTGATAAACCTAAATGATGTAGCAACTTTAGTTTCCTCTTCCATTCCCCACATATCCATATATAATCCCTTTGAAGCTGGATTAGTTTGGCCCTCTAAGTTGGGTTTAGGTCCAGGTGAAGAGGGTGTAGGGTTCAGGTAGACTTAGAGGATTGAGATTTAGCTACAGAAGCTTGTGCCGGATTTTATGTAACCACTTACTTAGACCCGGACTCTCCAAGTGGTACCTTCAAGTAGTCTTGGGGCTGCGAGTGACTGTTTGGAGCTGGCGCAAATCTAGGGAATATTGCACCACCATTGCATAACCTGTAGTCTTTGAATGCGGCTATATAGGAGAGTAGATAGGGGAGTACTATAGGGTTCATAAGGGGGATACGAGCAGTTTAGACTATAGCTTCCATAACCCAGCCCAAAAAAGCGGTTAGACCCCCGTAAGCTGCTCAAGATTTCCTCCCACCCCCCTTTTGACCTTAAGGGGCAGTGCGCTGACCTAACAAAACGTAACCCTAAACCCCAAACCCTAATCTGGTCACTTAAGCTACTTTACTTCAGAACCTGAAGCTAAGCCGAGTTGACCAGAAATAAGGGTGCAGGGTTTGAACAATTTGGGGTGAGATCGAGTGAGGTCGTTACAGTTTACTCCGAGACCCCAAGGGTCCATGTAGGTATATAGTATACACTTAGGGCCCAAAGCGGTTCCCATATAATACCCACTTTGGGGCCCAAGTATATAATATACCATGTACCCTAAACCCTAAACCCTGAACCTACACCCTAAACCCCAAACCGCGCCTAAACGTGAAACCTCACAACCCTGCCTTTGCAGCGGCCTTTGCTTTGGCCTTTCCCTTTGGGGCGGCCTGGATGCGTAGAATTCCGGCAGATCTTGGATTTGGGGCTAGGGGTTTAAGGTTTAGGGGTTTAGGGTTTAAGGGTTTAGGGGTAAACGGCCTAAATCTTATAAGGTTTAGGGTTTAACCCCAAATTGCGTTTTAGGGTTCAGGGTTGCCTCTACTACTAGGCAGTTATTTCCACCAGACTGTATGTAGGTGGGGTTACACGGAAGATGTGGGGTTGGGGTCGCTTTATAAGTGTTCAGGGCCCGAATTTAGGGTTTACATGAGCCATAATCTAAACTATTGAGAGGGGGTTGTATACGGAATTTTTAGGGGACAAAGCTATAGGGGATATTCGGAGAGATATCAGGAGTTTAGACTATGGCTCACATGGCTTCATACTTAGGGATGGGACTTGCGTGTTGCAAAACTAGGACTTGCCTGCTTCGGGTGCAAAGTTGATCCCAACAAACTCTCCTTTCCCTAAACCCTCAACCCTAAACCCTACATCCTAGACCCTAAACCCTAAACCCTAGACCCTAAACCTTTGGATTTAGGGACAGATTCTCCAAGCCTCAGATCTGCTGGTACATGTGGAGGCACCGGCGGTGTTGTCAAAAAAAAGTAAGCATGGCACGATTGGACCTAGAAATCCTGCAGGACTTTAGCAAGCCCGGCCCTGAAACCCTGGTTCCTAAGCAGAGAGGGTGTAGCTTGGGACATGAGGAACTATTACTGAAGTACAAACCGCATAATCATAATGTTGGACTTTTTGAACAGCATTTAGCACAAACTTTGCATTGCGTGAAGGGCTTAGGGTCGTCTGCAGATTTGCGGGCGTGAGATGGAGGAGACAAACTGCTTTGGATGTGGTAATCATCTCCCCCTAACATCCAAAAAACCTTTCACTACCGTAATTGTATGACCCAGAATCTACTATTCTCAATAAATCACGATATAGCACAACTGAAACATTTAATGAAAGTGGCTTGGGGAATTGACATGTTGAGGGGGCGGGATTACATTATCAGCCCAGACCCTAGACATGAAATAGTAGTTTCCATTTTCTTTTCCATTCTCCTATATACCCTATATGTTCCCTACCCTGAATCCTAACCTCCTAACTTTTGTTGGTTTGAGACGATTGAGCTTGCATAGTAGCCGGTTCGTGGAGTTTCCGTAATCCGAGAATAAATAGGTACTGCTGATGGACTTTCAGCCGCAAAGCACCAAGATGGGCTTCTAGACTTTCACGGCCGCTGAGTCCCGAAAGGGAATTTGGGGGTTTAAGGGTTAGTTAGTGTTAGCCCACATTGGTAAGATTTGGTAAGCATTGCTCATAGGTTTGGAGGCTCATGGCTGCTAACACCCGAAACCCTAACCCCCCTAACCCCAAAACCCCCAAAACCATATGACACAGGCTAGGTATATTTCTGAAAGCTCCGGGAACCTGCTAGAAATCAGAATTTCAGATGGTTATGAGAATTACACATAACAAAGATCCCAGGCTCAATGGCCCATACTGGGGTGTGTGGCTTTGAGACACCTTAACCCTAAACCCTAAACCCTAAATCCTAAACCCTTACAATCCTAACTCCTACCCCGTGCAAGTCCAGCCTTTGCAGCAGATTTTGCAGCTGGCTTCTTGAGAACCTAGGGCAGAGGGTTCAAGTGCCAATGTCATGGGGTTTAAGATTTAGGGTTTAGGATTTAGGGTTTAGGGTTTAGGGGTTATAGTCCCCCTTAAGTAGATAGAATATGGCTTTGGGTATATATTAATTAATTAAATCCCCATATACCCCATATTCTATCTACTTAAGGGGGACTGTATGCTTAGACCCTTATAAACCCTAACCCCTAAACCCTAAACTGGTGCAGGCTTTGGAGCCTTAGGGGTCTGGGAACTGGCCTGCAGTGTTACGTAGGATGTCGGCCACCAAACTACCTCTCCAGTGAAACTGTCGAAGGCTTCTTGCGTCTGATTTAATTGTGGCCTCAAAGCTGTAAAATGCTGAGCCCTAAACGCCGAATCGTAATCTCTACACCCTAAGCCCATCAAGCCCCAAACCGTACTTAGTCCTTTCTTGGAAGGACCCAACCCACTTGCAGGGTCAGGGGGCAATTTAAATGTACTTACAACTTTACAGTTAGAACGCCCATCTGGCCTGCTCGTTAGGTCAGAGAAGTGCGACATAGCTGCATCAATGTACGTGCCTCCTGCAATTGCCTTTCTATGCAAGGTATGCCGCCTGTAAATCCATCCGCAAAACACACAGTCCGTGTGCTCTTGTATCCGCCGTACCTTCTGGCGGTGGGCAGTGCTTCCTCCATGGCAGCACGACCTTCCGTACGCGCATGTTTGCAACAGGAAATTTCAGCTTGGCATAGAAACCCGCTAGTCCATCATGCTCAGCCAACCTGGGCCGAACATTCTGCTCGGTCAGGATGGACCCCATGTCATGCGATAGGTAATGTTTCGGGGCTCCGGGCCGCAACACTGCTACACCTTCAGAACCCCCATCTCCTGAAGCAAGTGTTGCGCAGCCTTAGGTTGGAGCCCCAACCAAATCATGCGCAGAAACCAGAAACCCTAAACCCTGATACCTCAAACCCAAAACCCCAAAACCCAGAACTCAAAACTCTGAGACCCTAAACAACCCTAAAACCCTGAAACCCTACAAGCCTAAACCCTGAAACCCAAACACCCTAAACACTAAAACCCTAAAATCCAAAACCCTGAATTTCGAAACCCTGAAACCCTAAACCCTGAAACCCTAAAACACTAAAACCCAAAAACCCTCAACCCTAAAACCCTGAAGCCTGAAACCCTCCACCCTCAAACCTAAAACCCAAAACTCTGTGAGAACCTAAACCCTGAAATCCAGTACCTAAAGCCCTGAAACCTTAGAAGCCTAAACCCTAAAACCCGAAAACCCTAAACCCTGAAACCCTAAACCCTGAAACCCTGAAACCCTAAAACGGCAAAACCCTAACAACGCACAACTCTAAACCTTACACAAAACCCTAAACCCTAACACCCTAACACCCTAAACTGAAGCCTCAAACCCTAGAACCCTAGAACCCTGAAACTCTAGAACTCTAGAACCCTAGAACCGTGGAATACGTCCTGTCCAGGACCCTAAAACCGTAAAACCCTAAAACGTGCAACTCTGAAACTTACACAAAAACCCTAACACCCTAAACTGAAGGAGAGGGAGTACTGTCCAGGAGCCGGCTCTTCAGCTTCCTCCTCCACCTCCATGTCCTCTGGGGCTTCGTCGCCCTGAGGCTCCTGGCGCTTGCAAGGGGAACTGGGAGTTAGGAAGTTTAGGATTTGGGGTCTAGGGTTTGGGGTTTGAAATTGAAGGTTTAGGGTTTGGGGTTTAAAATTGGAGTTTGGGGTTTAAAATTGGAGTTTGGGGTTTAAAATTGAAGGTTTAGGGTTTACGGTCAGGGTTAGCGGAACTGAGTAGTGTATGTATAGCTATAACCCCAATGAGCCATGTAATGTAATAATTCAGTTGTCCCCATTCTTGGCCCGCTTGCTAAGTCCGGCTGACCCGACGAGAAGAGGTTACATCAGAGCGCCTGACTGTTGGGCTTCAGGATTTGCATGTTTGGAGTTTTGACTATGCCGCCGAACTGGTGGTTCTAGTTGTTGCACCCAATAAAATTCAGTATCTTCTGCCAAGAACACATCATGGGTTTCTTAGTGTAGGGATGAGGGTATAGGCTTTTGGCCATCTGTTCTGGAAAACTGCCATCATAACGACAGGGGTTATCTTCTCAACAGTCAGAACTATAGTCTTGCACATTCTATCTACTTAAGGGGGACAAAAACTATATATAGAAATATATATACACTATGCCTATCAAAAACGCGGTTATTCTCTTGGGATACCCAGGCTTAGTTACTTCAAGACTTGTATGCAAGCATTGTGTGGGGCGAAAGGCCTAGGGTCTCGGACTTGGACCCTATGAACCCTGAAAAAGGAAACCTAAACCTCAAACCCTAACCCTGAAACCTAAACCCTGAACCCTAATGACTACAAACCCTAAACCTTAAAACTTCAACCCTGAAACCCAAACCCTAAGCCCTCAGCCCCGCTTTTTACACACGCTCGCAACTATGATTTAACGCCGTTCCCTCAGACTCTAAGTCGTACCTGGACCCCAAAAGTATGTAAAATAATGGCCCTGATGGCTGTTATTATGGGTTTGGGGCTATTATTTTACATACTTTTGGGGTTTAGGTAAACCGTAAATCCTCAACACTAATCCATTGGGGGGAGGGTCAGAACCACCACGGCTAAAAAGTCGCATCGGCTGATAGGACCGCGGTTTAGCGTGTAGAGGTTACGGTGTAGGGTTCAGGGTTTAGGGTTTCAGCCTTAGGGTTCAGGGTTTTCCGTTTGGGGGTTACACATACATAGCCGGATAGGGCAGGAAAAGGAATTGAAAAGAACATGGAAAGTAGCGTGTAGGATGTAGGGTTTAGGCTCATAAGCTAATCCCTCCCTTAAACCCTATTCTCGAATCCATATATATATATATGTATATACATACTTACAACTCTAAACCCTAAATCCCCAAACCCTTGAAACCCTTAAAACCTTTGAAGCCCTTAGAAACCTTTGAAACTCCTAGCAACCCTTAAAACTTACCAACCTCAATCTCGAATCCAGTAGACCCTGAACCCTAAACTCTAAACCCTAAACCCTAAACTCTAAACCAGTAGGATCTCCTCGGGTTCTGCTTCGGCCGCAGGTTCGGCCTGCGAACCACAACGACTGGGTCGCTGCCAGGGAACTTGAATTGAGTTACCTATAAAGGGCTTAGGGTTTAGGGGAGTTACCTATAACATAAGGGGTATAAAGGGTATTTAGGGTTAGGGTTGAGGGGCTGGAAGTTATTTACTCTATACCCATACTATTTGAGGTTACGATAACAAGGGATATATAGGGTTTTTAGGGCTCAGGGCTTAGGCGTAAGGTTGAGGGTGTCAGGGTATCTATCTATATATATATATACATATATATATATATGTGTGTGTGGTGTAGGCATTTAGAGGATTAGGGGTCAGGCATTCAGAGTTCTAGCTTCTTAGGGTAGATTCATGGGGGCCTCCATTCGGACAGATTTGTAGAAGGAAGGGGATAGATGCCGCGTAGGGCATGTGATTTAGGGTTGCAAAGAAGAGTGTCAGGGGACTTAGTAAGTACACTTATACCCCAATAAGCTGGACATGACCCTATACCCTAAACCCTATCTTCGGGAGTAACCTACTTACTAAGTCGTCAAGACTTGACGCTAAGGCCTATGCCCTCACAAATCCTACCTAACCTGCCCCCTAGAGCTGCAGATTCCGTAAGCTCAAAAACGCCAAACCCTGAAATATGGGAACACTAAAATCCTAAAACACTCTAAAACCTTGCATATGTATATTGTTACAAATATGCACATACATCTAGATATACAAATTTGGATACACACAAACTCTACATATCCTGAAGTCCCACGTCATTATGCATCAAAATCCCAGGCCTTCTCAGCGGCTGCCTTTGCTTTGGCTTTAGGCTGACGCCTTAGACGCAACAAGCTTCATGGACTTGTGGCTTGGAGTGTTGGGTTTAGGGTTGAGGGTTCTGCAACAAGCTTAGTGCTTTGTGCTTTCCGCTTTCGACCGAACTTAGTGGTTTGGGGCTTAGGACATAGGATTTATGGTTTAGGGTCTTGAGGGTTCAGGGCTTCGTTCGCAGCTTGTTGGGTTTAGAGCTCTGGAATTCAGTTGAGTCTTGCTCTTTAGGTGGTTGAACCTAGTAAGATTAATTATATTCCTTATACAAAATACCATAATCTTACTCTATAAATGGGTACCATAGTCGTTTTTCTGCAAGGGCTCAGGGGGATGATTACTCTCGCATGATAGGGTTTGAGGTGAGGCTGAAGGGAACAAGGGTATAGGGTTCAGGGTTTAGGGTTCTAGGAAGACCCTAAACCCTAAACCCCAAATCCTAAACCCTAAAATCCTAAACCCGGTTTAGGGCTTAGGGTTTGGGTTTAGGCTTTAAGGTAAACTCTACCACCTCGAGTCTGACAACGGAGAGGATGTTAACAACCAGGTGCAGGGATTTATGTCCACCATTGTTTTGACTACGTGGCACTTAGGACTCCTACTAAGGGTACCCCTAAACCCTAAACCCTAAAGCGGGTTCCCGCCCTCAGGGCGACCTCGTGGTTTTTGGCCCGTAACCGCATGGACCCGCAATTTGATGCGGTTGTCTTTATCTGAGGTGGGTACGGGCCTGCTCCTGTTAAAAAGCCCTAGGCACCCAAACCCACAGAGCTTACATCCTCAGCCCTCAACCATCCAAACCCTGAGCCCGCACTTCCAGGGCGGTTTAGGGTTTAGGGTTCTCTGAAAATGAGGGATTTAGGGTTTAGGATTTAGGGATTAGGGGTTTAGGGTTTAGGGTTTGGGGTTCGCCCCCCCGCAGTAACAGTTGGATAATGATTACAATATGGCTGTATATAGCCCTAAATAGGACCCCTAATATAGACTGTTACTGCGAGGGGGGGGCAGTACCCAGGGTTTAGGGTTCTCTGAAATATGAGCATGAGGTACTACTTTATCACAGTATAACCCTACTGCAATCTCCAGTTAACAACAGGTTCCCTGACCCATTAATCTTATAAAGGGACACACCCTAGATGCAAAGCACTCTAAGCCCTTGAACCCCAAAATCATAAATCCTGAATCCCAAAACTAAATCTTTAACACCCCCCTGAACTATAAACCACCCAAATCCCAAACCCTACACCCCTATAGCCCATAGACCCCAAACCCTCGAAACCCCTGAACCCTAAACTCTTAAACCCCCAAAAATCCCAAAACTCCACATGTGGGCCAGGTTACGCAGCAGGTCTCTTCAAGGTAGGGGCTTCTTCCTCTACAGGTTGATGCTAAGGTACTTTGAATTAAGGGTTCAGGCTTTAGGGTTCAGGGTTACTATGATATGGAAACCCTACTATTTACTATAATATGTGTATACATATACTTTTCTTGTGGTAACTTACTTCTTGCTCCTTAAAGGCAACCCAGTGTGGGAATCGGAAATGGCTTAACCGTTCGGGGTTCAGTGCAGGGTTTAGGGAATATATGGTTTAAGGGACATGGGGTTCAGGGTTTAGGGATTGAAGGTTTAGGGGTGTATCCGGGTTTAGGAGAACCCGGAACTACGCGAATTTCGGGGCCATCTTCTACAAAATTCACCATTTGACATGAAGTCGGGTTCAGGGTTCAGGCTGTAGGGTTCAGGGGATCATCGCTTCAGCAAAGCTAGGACGAGGTACTGGGCGAAGTTCGGTGTAGGGCGTAGAGTCGAGCTTCGGGTGTCAGAGGCTAAAATAAGGTGTATGGGGGTCACATTAGCGAGTCTGGCTACCAAAGTGGGCCCCCTTAATCAGCACTTTCACCGGGATTAAACAACCCTAGATACTTAATTTTGAGGCGCATGTGAAGGACCCCAATACCATAGTCAAACACGGAATTCGGAACCATAACGTTGGTAACAAGCCTTTTCTACAATAACATGAAGCTTTGGCACTTCTTTGCACGGAGGCTCTGAGTAGAACTCGCGATCAGAATTAGTTTTCCAGGTCTATTCAAGCTAGAGTCTAACACTTCTACCTGCCCTAGGTTGGGGGTTTAGGGTTACCGGAACATCCAATTCAAACAACTGTCCCTCTTACGGTCAAGCAGAGGGGCCCACGAAGACACTTGGTAGTTTCCCAAAATAGGGGAACCCCAATATAGACCCTAAAATACTATAGTCCTTATTATGGGGACCCCCAAAATGGTACCCATAATTTTGGGAAGCCCCCACTTGATGCCCTTGCTCCTCAGAGCTTCGCTAACATTTGCACAAGCCTTTCGCAGATAACCCCTAGCATCAGGTACTTTCGGTATACCCTAAACCCTAAATTCTACTTCCTAAACCCTAACTCCTAAACCCTAATACCTAAACCCTACTGCCTAAACCCTAATCCCTATAAACCCTAAACCCTCAAGCGCACCATCCTGGAATCTGAGACTAGAACTCCGAAACCAAACTTTTTTGCGACTTGCCAAGTAAGGTCATCTGCAACAACAGATGTCGGTTGATCCTGTCTGGCTGCTTCTTACCCTAACCATCCTAAGACCATAAGTAATATGGGTTCAATGGGTTGGATAAGGAAACTCCTATTATGAATTTAAGGAATCCTCATTATTTGTGGTCTTGGGATGCTTAGGGTTAGGATTAGGGTGTAAGGTTTTGGTTTGCGGATATTACTTACAAGTAGATGTTTTCACATGTAACTTTGGGTTGGTAAGAATAAACTTAAAGAGCAATCCGAATAATGGCCCAACTGTGTGGGGACTTTCTCGAAAATAAAACCATAACTTTTGCTTTCAGCACAAGCTAAGGGTCGACTTGAAATGTTTTCCGGCTTTACGAAGACCGGTAATGTAATACAGGCAACCTCATTTTGAGTTCTACTTGAGGTATCCCATACTACGGCTACATGAAGAAATTATTGGTAGATATTGAGGCCCCTGCATTCGGCACTATAAACAAAATTGTGCAGAGGATTCTGAAGCCAGCTTTTTGGGGTTGACAAGTCCCGGGGGAAACCTTCCCTGGACCCCTAACATGTGTAGAATAGGTTTAGGGGTTTAGGGCCTACGGTTCAACATTGGCTGCTTGCATGTTTTCAGGGCTTGGGATCCACAATTTTTACGCATTTACAGGTCCAGGTATGAATCAAGGACCTCTGAGCCGGATGTGCTTTGCTCGTAATGTGCAAGAAGCTTTAATGTTTTTGCATGGAAGGGTGGTGCTGCGTCGACCGCAAGTCATGTAAATGGCGGCATATCTAGCAGTAGTAGACGTAATAGTAAGAGGAAGAGGAGGGGCAGCCGTACTAGTAACAGTAGTCGAATGTGGCGCAGGAACTGCAGCAGCAGCAACAGTAATAGCAGTACGAGTAGCCATAGCAGAGGAAGTGGTGGTGGTGGTGGTTGTGGTGGTGGTTGTCCTGGTCCGGCGGCCGTGACGGTGTCGGAGACGCCATGCTTTGCGCAGTATGCCTGCCACATGTGGCATGGGGTTCTGGAGCACACTGCATAAGGCTGAACTCGGAGCCGCAGGCGACAAAGATCTAAAGGCTGACTGCGGGCGCTACCTAAAAGGTTATATAGGGTGTATATATATATATATTGGGGTTATATTTGGGATAATGGAAGATACAATGGAAGCTACTATATTCTAGGCAATAGGGTTTTGCTGATTGATGGTGTCGGGGTGCCTAGTGTTCCAGTTGGGGTCCTTAAACATGGCAGCCCAAATGAAGAAAGTCATTTTCAGCATGTTAGCATCCTTGTCAGAGAAGTGTGGCAGCCCAAAAAAAGAGCTATCACACGTGGCCTGTTTTCATGAGTTATAATCTAAATTCCTAGGATTGCCGTTAATAAGCCCCTAAAATCCACTATAGAACCCCCCTTTGAGGAGTTTAGACTATAACCAATATGCACACGGTATGCGCAAAAGGCATGGCAAGCCACTGGTTCAAGAATTTTGCTTCAAGGATCAACCTTCTGTGCCCCCCGGGTCCAAATCTCAAAGTAACAAGAGGATGATGATTTTGCTAGAGAAACTAGAGAAACTCCCGCAACAAACATACTGCCAGATATACGGCCCCAGTGTAGACCCCCATATATCGGATCCTGATAATGGGGACACCCAAAATAGTACCCCCTACTTTTTGGAATTCCCCATGTGCTTTCCCTAAAGTAACCTACCGCAATATACTTATGTGAACGGGAATATGTATAGCCGGCACTTAAACTTGTAGAGGCTATGTGCCCTGTATTTGGACCCTTGGGGTTGTAGATCAAAAGCATTGACGTCCTTCCCCTTCACTTTGGCTCAGGGAAGACTCACCGCCCCACGGAAAAGGTCGGGCATGCACAGATGCCTTTGAAACAGAAACAGGTGGATTAGTCAAGATGATCATTTACAGGGTCTTGCATTGAGGCTTTAGAACTCTTGACCCTGAATCCTGCTCATCCAGCTGACGTAGAAGCTGTGAAACCATAGATTCAGGCCCTAAACCCTAATCCCTAAACCCGAAACCCCGATCCCTAATCCCTGAACCCAAATCCCAAACCTAATCCTTAAGTCATTGAGCGCGCAAGATGCGCATCAGAATGCTAGAACCCTTATCCAAGCAAGGCCCGCTTTTGCGGGAGCCGTAAACCCCATGTGCCTCGGTACTCCGGGTCTCCAGCCATAGTTACGGGTTTAAGGATTGGGGTTTAAGGGCTTAGGATTCAATAGGGGATTATAGGGATTATAAAAGGACTTATAGAGATTGTAGAGGGTATAGGGTTTAGGGTTACCCTATGTGTCCCACATGACTCTTTCCTAAACAATCCCTACTTTGGGAAATGCCCGAGCACTCCGCCCTAAACCTAAAGGTGGGAGTTGCGGGTTTAGGGTTTAGGGCTGAAAAAGTAGCTTCTGAAAGTAGCAGGACTGCAAGACATGAGAATCCATTGTTTTGGGCCCCACAAAATGTCATCCTAAGCCTTGGAAAACACCCAAAACCCTAAACCCGCCCAGCTACCCAAAGTAAGGGCTACTTTAAACCAAGCTGGTCCGGTAGGGAAATTCATGGGAAGTAGACCCTGAACCCTTAAACCATAAACCCTGAACCCTAAAACCCTCAAACCCTAAAATCCTAAACCCTAACTATGGCCTACGGGGTTTCTAGGTCAACCCCGACAACCGCCACTAGCCCAAAATTCTAATCGAATTTCTCTAATGTAGATGCCTGATTGATAAACCCCCTCCCCTCAAAGCTTTGTAGGGAATATAATAGGGATCCTAATATTACGGCCCTTAAAGGGAAAGGGTTTATTAATCATGCGTCTACACTAATTCCCACCACTTTGGGCTAAGATAAAATCATTCTGTTAGGTAACTAAGCTTTCTAGGTATAAACCAGTATATCTCCGGGTTCCGTTCCATGTTGCATGTTGTTGTCAATTTACTTCTGCAGTGTTGGGGGGGAAATCAATCATGATCTTCTGAACCACAAGCTCTGAATTCTAAACCCTGAAAACCCTACATAGGACATGACATACCCATATAACCCTATCAATCCTCTCGAAAGGCGCGTTGTGATCATAGATGACATGTCTTGGACACACTCAGAAACCTAATTAAACCCTGACACCCGAAAGCCTAAACCGCTCGACCCTAAACCCCCAACACCCTAAACCCCAAACCCCCAAACCCCTGAACCCGAAATGCGCGCTCACTTTGACTTCAGGAAAGCTGGAGGCGACAAGAAGCTGAAGACGTTGCCACCTCCAAGTAAGACTCTGATGGCTTGGGCATTAGGGTTGGGAGCTTAGGGTTTTAGAGTGTAGCGCTTGATGGTTTACAACTGAATAAAAAAGTTCAGGGCTTCTATGTAGGGCTTGAGATTTTGGTCTTCAGTTGGGGTTGGGGGTGTTGACTGTTTCTGGTTTTAGGTGCTGCTTTAAACTTTGGGACCACTGGCCTATAAGCCTTGAACCATTTTGTGGTAGTTCTAGGGCGGTACATAGAGACTAGGTACTTACATCCAGACCGTGGTGCGTAGCGAGCTTGTAATGGGGTTAAAAGTACAACGGTGACACACTGGCTCCTACCCTAGGGCAGTAATGCGAATAGAGGCATGATATAGCTACAGTCACAAGATTTGGCGACTTTCAAATAAAGGGGAACGGAATAGCCAAGTTCTAGGAGGGTTACCATGGGCCTTCCTAAATGATGAGACTCCAACAGTTCAAGTTGTGAGTCAGGATTACTTGGAACCCCCCAAGTTTGTAAGCCCCAAGCCAGCGACACGGAAACCAC